GGCTCAGCTGGTTAAGCATCTGACTCTTGATTTTGGCTCAGGTCATGATTTCAGGGTTGTGAGATTGGGTCCCACATCAGGCTCCACACTTTGTGGAGTCTGCTTAAGATTCTTTCTCTGCCCCTCTGTCCCCACCCTGCACGCACGCTCGCTCTCTCAAAAAAAAAAAAAAAAATTAAACTCTAATGACATGTACTGAATTACAGTGAAAAGATGGAGTGATGATTGGATAGTGGGATGAATAGATAGATATTTGATAAAGCAAATGTAGCAAAATGTTCATTGTAGAATCTATGTGGTGAGTATGTGGCTATTTACAGTTCTTTCAGTTTTCTCTGTTTTTGATAGTCTTCATAACAAAATACTGGGGAAAACCTCCATTTTGGAACCCCTAATTATGGAGCTGGGCATCATTGGCTGCCAAAAATCATGAAAGAAATGTCAATGGTGAACTTTGTAAAAATGGATCAAGGCAGACAATACCTGAACCCACTGACCAATCCTGTTGCTAAAAGTAGGACAACCAGACATTATGTTCTTCCTGATGTGTTACAAAAAACTAAAGTATTAGTGTAAAAAAAACTAAAATTGAACGTGAATCTAATCAAGCTTCTAGATCTAACTACCAATTTACAGAAAACACAGGAACATGTTAAATGACACCATGTAGGTCCTGTTAGCCAAGTCCAGATTGTAGGTGATTCCACAGGGGAAATCACCTCCTATCTTAATGAATCAATGGCATGAATGTTTTTTAAAAAGGTAAGAGGAGGATATGGTATAGAGTCAGAGAGATGTAAGACCTATAACCATCAAATGCAATGTATGGACCTTAAATACCATTTTGAACTAACCAACTGTAAAAAAAAGAAAAAGAAAAAATCTTTGAGATAGTCAAGGAAATTGAATGTGGATTGGTATTAGATGATATTTAAGAATTGTTAATTGTATTGGATGTGATAATATGGTTATTTTCTCAAGTCATCTGTTAGAAATACTGAACTAATAAAAGGTGAAATGATACTTGTTTTAAAAGACTTCAACAAAGGGGCACCTGGGTGGCTCAGTTGGTTAAGCGACTGCCTTCGGCTCAGGTCATGATCCTGGAGTCCCGGGATCGAGTCCCGTATTGGGCTCCCTGCTCAGTGGGGAGTCTGCTTCTCCCTCTGACCCTCCCCCCTCTCGTGCTCTCTCTCTCATTCTCTCAAATAAATAAAATCTTTAAAAAAAAAAAGAAAGACTTCAACAAAAACAATGGGGATAGGCGAAACAAGAATAGCAGAATGTCAATAACTGTTAAAGCTGGGAGATGGGGGTGGGGGCACCTGGGTGGCCCAGTTGGTTAAGCGGCTGCCTTCGGCTCAGGTCATGATCCCAGGGTTCTGGGATCGAGCCCCACGTTGGGCTCCCTGCTCAGCAGGAAGCCTCCTTCTTCCTCTCCCTCTGCTGCTGCTCTCCTGCCTGAGCACACGCTCTCTCTCGCTCTCTCTCTCAAATAAATAAATAAAATCTTTTTAAAAAGGTACATGGAAGTTTAATAATCTGCTTTCTCTAATGGCAAATACTAAAAAGTTTTTAAAAGGAAACTTCCTTGGCTTCTCATTCTCTTTTAGCTACATTCCATTCCCATCTCTCTGTTCCTAGTACAGTAAGGTTTTGAAAGATACCTGAATTTACTATCTCCATATCATCTCTTCCCATTTTTCTTGAACCTGATCCAATGGAGATTTTTGTCTATATCATCCCACCAAAACCCCTCTTATCCAGGTCACCAGGGACTTCCAGGTTGCCAGATCTAATGGTCTGTTCTCAGCTCTCATCTTAAATGGCCTCTCACTAGCATTGCAGGACACCATACTGCTCTGATTTCCCGCCTGCTTCACTGTCTAGGCAGTCTTCCTTTGCTAGATTGTTGTCATCTTCCTGACCTCAAACATTGCTGTGCACCAAATCTCATTCCTCCGACCTCTTATCTTTTTTTTCTAAGATTTTTAAAATTTATTCATTTGAGACAGAGAATGAGCAGGGGAGAGAGGCAGAGGGAGAGGGAGAAGCAGAAGCAGACTCCCCACTGAGCCGGGAGCATGATGTGGGGCTCGATCCCAGGACCTAGAGATCATGACCTGAGCCAAAGGCAGACGCTTAACCATCTGAGCCACCCAGGCACCCCACCCCCTTCTCTTTCCTACTGGCAGTCCGGGGGCTATAAACACTGTGTGCGGGGTGCCTGGGTGGCTCAGTCGTTAAGCGTCTGCCTTTGGCTCAGGTCATGATCCCAGGGTCCTGGGATCGAGGCCCACATCGGGCTCCCTGCTCCATGGGGAGTCTGCTTCTCCCTCTCCCACTCCCCCTGCTTGTGTGCCCTCTCTTGGTGTGTCTCTGTGTGTCAAATAAATAAATAAAATCGTTAAAAAAAAAAAAAAACACTGTGCTTTTGATCCCAAATTTATATCTCTAATTCCGGCCTTCCCTCTCCCATCTTTTAAGATCTCACACTCAATTTGTACAAAACCAAATTCTTGATCCCTCTTATAAACTCTTCCTTCTGTGTTCCCAGTTTTAGTAAATGGCATCTTCATTTTCATTCAGTTGCTCAGAACAGAAACTTAAGTTGTCATACTTACCTCTTTCTCTCACATCCCATATCCAGCAGCAGTGCCTGTCAGCCTAACCTTTAGAACGTATCCTGAATTTGACCACTTCTTGCCATCACTGCTTCTGTCACTCTATAATTCAAATCCCCATCTTCTCTTGCCTGGACAACCACAGAAGCCTCCTACCTGGTACCTTTTCTTCCACTCTCATGCCCTTGCAATCTCTTCTCCACACAACAGCCCAAGTGATTCTTTCAAAACCTGAAACTGCTCATAATGCTCCCCTGCTCACAACTTTCTAATGGTTTCCCATCTCACTCAGCATAAAACCCAGGGTTCTGGCCATGACTCCAAGCCCCAGACCATAGAGCCTTTGACCATTTGGATCACATTTCCTACCACTCTTCCCCTGCTCATTTTTTCCCTCCAACACAGTGGCTTCCTTACTGTTCTCCAAACACACCAACCCTCCTCATGCTTCTAGGTCTTTGCACTTACTATCCTATTCCACCCTCCTGGAACCTGCTTCCACATGACCCATTCTGCCCCTTCATTCTGGTCTGGGCTCAGATACTACCCTATTAGAGAATCCTTCTCTGACCCGACCCCTTTACTAAATAGCAGCTCCCTAGTCTCCAAACCTATAACATTGACCTCCACCAGCTTTTACCTCATGCACTTAACACTGCCCAGTCTCTTATATTCATTTATATGTATTGGTTTCCTTTGTTTCTATCTCCCAATTTTATGACTTAAGGATTTATTGAGAATGACAGAATCCATACTCTGATGAGAATTACATAAATCTTAGTGTAACATTAACTTAAGAATAAATGTGGTCAACAAACTATAAAGGGTATACTTTGGGATTCTGATTTAAGCTTCTACTTCTCCTTAATAAGCTGATAGAACTGGCCAGGAGACCCTGGCTAGGTTTAGTTTATAGTTTCTTCTTCTGCATCATGCCCCTCCTTTTCTAGGTTTGTTCATTTATTGCACCCCACACTAGACTCATGCTAGGGCTATCACTTTCTTCTTCGTCATCTGTTGTCATCCATCTCTATTTAAACCAACCAAAAGTTCTTATGAAGAGCAGTCTCTATCAGTTGGTTTCTGCAGAGCTTTGCTTGCTTTCCCATAAACCCTCCCGGCTACTTTGTTTCTTGCTGCAGCACACTCACCATTTATGTACACTTGCCTTCCCTCTCCTCTCTCTCTCTCTTTCTCTCTCTCTCTCTCTCATACACACGTTTATATTTAAGGGCTCATCTTTCTTTGTGTTAGAGCCTCTATTGTAAGGTCTTTAAATGTCTTTGGACAAAAAAAAGTAACTTCCAAAGTAGAACCCTGATGCTTTCATTGAGCAGAGTAAGGATCCCTCACACTTTTCTGCATCATTGTCAAACATCTCTCTGGGTGCACCAGTTCAGAGTTTTATTGCACAGGATTGGGGGGGGGCCACTATCATATAGGCTAAACTGAGCTAAAACTATGTCATGTTATAAATGAGCAAGTATGGGAAAGAACAAAAATACTTTCCATGCCTAAAGAAGCTTGCTTTTTTTCCCGTATTTTAAAAGCAGGTCATATGTGACATCAGTCATATTGGGGAGCATAGTATTTGAGCAGAGACCAAAGGTCCACACAGTAAAATGCTTTCCTGAGACCAGGTCCTACAGAGAGACTCTCATTGTGACCACGAAGCATATGATTCTTAGGGAGCCCTGGTCACACAGCTACTCCTTGGGAAGGATGTCTTTGCCCTGGACCAGAGGCCAGCCAAGTCGTCTCCTCTCTTCCTTCCCATTCCCGCAAAGAGGAAGGGCAGGTCCAGAGAAAAGACATGCCCAGGGAGAACATCAAATTCCCTGGGAGCCAGGTTCAGTTAAAGTCATTAAATCTGGCTCTTCTTACTTGGGGATGGAATGAATAAAGTAAAGCAAGAGGATGGTAGGAGGGTGGACAAAGAAAGAGCCATTAGCATCCCCTAAGGACTAAGATACAGTGGCTCTGTAGGTAAAGTCAGAGGTTTCAAGAAACATTTTGGCAAGAGGTGTAAAAAATATTTTTCCTTAAATGTAGGCTATCAGAAAAAAAAGAATATTGCACGAAAAGGTAGAAAATACATCTGCCATACTTGAACACTCCTGCTTCCTGAGTAATTCTTAGCACCTACCCTAATCTTAGAAGCAAATAGTCCCTGAAAAACGTTTGATAAAACAGGTAAGTCTTTGGAGAAATCAACCTGAAGTGAGAATAGCACAAATAATTCAAACATCCAAAATAATTCCAGGAGTTTTTAATGTATTACTATACAGTCATGTTATTCAGTTTTGTGTAAATTGAATTGCTCATCTCTAATTAATCCTTATCTTTGGTTTGTTGTTTGTCTGTTTTTCTTTCCAGCCCCACTGTGTTCTCCTCGCCTCAAAGGAAAACTCGGCACCTGTTAAACTTGGGGGCTTTGGGGTAGCTATTCAATTAGGGGAGTCTGGACTTGTAGCTGGAGGTAAGAACGCTTTTTAAAAAATTTCCTTCAAAACCTGGTCACTTTCAGCCTGGTGTAAAACTTTCAAACTAAATATTAGCTCATCCTCAGTGTTTCATACCCATTCCACCCCCTACCCCACCCCCAAAAAAGTCTATCATAGTTTTGAATTTAATAACTGTAGTTATAACTAGAGTTTTAGTACCTTAAGAATAGACTCTGTGCTTTTACTCTTTGTATTCCCACCACTTGGCAGAGAAGTGACCCTGCATACAGAGATTAAAACAGTGTTGGAAGAAGGTGTTATCTGGGGCAAAGTGACTTCTTTTTTTTTATTTATTCATGAGAGACAGAGAGAGAGACAGAGGCAGAGGGAGAAGCAGGCTCCCCGCAGAGCAGGGAGCCCGATGCGGGACTCAATCACAGGACACTGGGATCATGACCTGAGCTGAAGGTAGACGCTTAACTGACTGAGCCACCCAGGCGTCCCTGGGGCAAAGTGACTTCTAAAGTTGAACTGGCCAGGGACACCTGGCTGGCTCAGTCAGTGAAGTACACGACTCTTGATCTTGGGGTTGTGAGTTCAAGCCCCACATTGGGCATAGAGCTTACTTAAAAATAAATAAATAAAGTTGAACTGGCCAAACGAAGTCCATTTTAAAGCCTATAGATTAACCACTTTCAGGTTTACATTAGTGGCTAATGTTTAATTTCATATTGTTTTCCCCTTTTTATTTATGAAAGAGTCCTGCTCAAGCCATCAATCTGTGTATTTGGGAAGAGCAAGCAGATGTAAATGCAGACTGATTTTTTTTATTAGTCAAGGCAAAACATAATTAGAAAATTCCCATGCCAGAAAAAAAAGTATAAAAGTTAAAAATAGAAATTTTCTCCAGTAGCATGCAGAGGTGGATGCTAATTCCAGATTCAGGAATTTGGGTTTTTATTTATTCCCTTCAATAGACTCCAGCTCAGAATGCTGCCCTGTTTTTAGTTCTGTTCCTTAGCTTTGCAAATGACTTAGTTGTTCAGTCTACAAATTATCAGTCTTCTAGTCATGCCTTCGATTTTCCATCTCCAGATAATGCCAGCCTTCACTAAGAGGAAAAATATAAAAAATACCAGCAGAACCTTTTTGAACCTGTCATCTTCCATGAATACTTATATTAAGTTCAAATACCTGACAAATGATAAATATCAAAACAATAATCCATTACACAGGATATTTCATTCAATTTAATACACTATTACTAACACATCAAAGCAGCGTTAACAAAGACCATCTTCTGAAAAATGAGCCAGGAGTCATAGTCGTATTCTTTAAATTGTTATTTCATCACATTGCCCTCTAAAATTAAATTATGTCTAGACTTTCTTCTAATTTTGCATTTTCTTCAAGCTAATCATTTCCGATAATATGAAAAATTGCAAGTTGAGTATAGTTTTAAAAACTGATTTTTTTTTCCTAATTCAAAACTTCCATCTGTGATTAGAAGGACTAATCATAGGATCAGGTAGTAGCACATCATTTAATCGTAGACTCATTGAATCTCAGGATTCCAAGGGGGCCTTAACTTCTCCAGGCTTATACCAATGATCGCATTCCTTCATAAAATTCCCAGCGAAAGGTTGAGCTCTACTTTAATTCCTCACATAGCAAAGAATTCACTGTGTTCCAGGACTGTATTTCCATTTTTAGAAAGCTCCTTAAGTCCTGAAACATTCATCTTCACATTGAACGGAAATCTGTCTTCTTAATCACTTACACCCAGTGGTGCTAATTGTGACTTTTGAAGCCACACTGAACAATTTTCCTCCTTCCACATGAGAACCATTCAGATGTTTAAAGACAATATCGTGTACCCCTAAGTCTTATACAAATTAACTTGCCTAGGTTAATTTAGCCATTCCTCACATAAACTGGTGCAAACTCTCATGGTGTGCAAAGGACGGAGCCAAAACTGAGCACAACTGTAGGTACAGTCCAGCGCACAGGAGCTTGGGACTATTGCTTCTTTTGCTGTGAGCCTTATATTTCTATCAGCCTCCCCAGATTGCATTAGCTTCTTGGACAGCCACATAACACCACTGGCTCATACTGATCTTGCAATTAACTACAATTCCCAAGTTGTGTTTAAACAATTGTTGCTATTAAACTAACTCTCTTAAATCTGATATTTTTACAGATCACCCCTCTGTAAAGACTACACAATTATAGGGGCGCCTGGGTGGCTCAGTTGGTTAAGCATCTGACACTTGGTTTTGGCTCAGGTCGTGATCTCAGGGTTGTGGGATCGAGCCCCACATCAGGCTCCACGCTCACCAGGGAGTCTGCTTGGGATTCTCTGCTTCTCTCTCTCTCAAATAAAAATAAATAAATCTTTTCTAAAAAAGACTACACAGTTATAACAAGTAACTTCTGATGATTACATCCCCAAGACTGATGGGATGAAATGAAATGACACAAAGTCCTTTTATATGTTCTATACTGGCCACATATAATGGCTTTGTTTCTCTTTGTCTGGATCCATATCCTGTTAATATTCAAAGTGGTATCAGCTTCATATTTTACCATGCATCTTGATTGAAGGGGAAAAACAGATTCGTTAGATTTACCTAGACATCTTCTCCACGTTAATCTACTTTCCTAAAGTCCTTGAGCCTTTCTCCTAAATTGTATGTTTTTAAAGCTGATTTTGAACCTACAGTGTGTCAGTTGTACAAAATTTATTTTTCTCAGTGCTTCAAGAATTAAAATACTTTCTGATGGTCAGAATGTCATTTCTTAACGTATCTTTCCTTCCAGTCTTGAAATAACTACTTGAAGCATTATAGTGTCTTTAAAAATACACCGTATGTAGACAAGGGATAAATGATTTCTCTTAGAGAAAGCTTTCTTATTGTTTAAGGTACTTGTGAAATTACATTAATATTAGCTCATTTGCTAATGCTTATTAACAGAAAGCTATTTTCCTGTCAGTTGGAATCTTTGATTACTCAGTAGAATAGAAATAGAAAAGAATTCTCTCCTTTATATGTTCCATATAGTAGAAACCACTTACATGTATTTGCACTTAACCTACCTGAAATTCCGCTATTTGGAAAACTCACCTATGCAGAAGATAACTAGGATCCTACAAAAAAATTATTTTTGCAGCCAGACATTTCTTGACCTTAATACCCATTCATGGACCTCTCAAATGGGCATCTAAGAGCATACTCTTTGAAGCTGGCATGCTGCCATTTTTCATAGTTTTATGGTTTCATGTGCCTTCATACCTGGCACCTGCTACTCCCTCTGGTTGGAATACCTTTTGTCATTTTCTGTATCTATTTAACTCTTACTGCTCTTGAAGGCTGAGAGACTGAGCTAACAAACCTCCCCTCTTAAAAGCAAGCTGATCTTCACCATCCCAAGTTAGGTAACCCTATTCCTTCTCTTCCATATTATGTAACTATCTGGGCTACATACCTCCATGTAGTATTTGATGCAGGGATTTGTAATCATATCAAAGACTGAGCTTTATGAGGACAAGAGGCATTACGGCTTATCCTTCTGTATGTCCACAGCACCTCCCACTGTGTCTAGGACCCAAGCAGGCACTTGGGAAATGGGAAATTGTTTCTAAATGAAAGAACCTGCTTGCTAATCAGTTCTGGTTAATAGCAGATTTTATGCAACAAATTAGGAGAAGACAAGGCTAGAGAAAGCACAGTGAGAGAAAAGACACAAAAGCCTGACAGAAAAAGTATGTTGAGCAGATATCAAAATGTAGACAGCACAGCCCCCTTTTAATACTGAAGAACTCAACCCTTGCTTACCTATGAAGTTCCTGAGGGCATTTTCTGTTCTGTGGCATAGTTCTTTCATTGATAGCCACAAGACAGTCATCTTGAGTCATCAAGAAAAGGTTGCGTTATGTGCATCTCGTGTAAAAGAAGTCAGAAAATTGTAGAAAGATAACCATCCAAAATTATTTAAAAAGCTTTGGGTGTGTAAAGATTCAAGTCCTAGCTATTCAAAATCACTCCTTACCTGAGGTTCTAGGTAGAGAGGTCTTATTATATTATTCCAAAGTCTAATATTTAAATATTTAAATGTATATCTGAAGTATGTCATACACAGTGACATTTAATATGGTTTGGTAATTGACCACAAAATTCTAAGAACAGGAAGTCAAAGTCATAAAAATCAAGTGACCACAAAGAAGGAAAAGTCAAGCTATCACAAACAAGGAGTCCAGGGAGGTTGGTGTACATTAAAGGTTAACTCTAGTCCTTTACATTTGACTGATCTGCACAAAATACTGTAAAAAGCTCATTCCTATATATTCTTTCCTCCATCATCCCTGAGCAAATTCTTGAACCAAAAGACATGTATGTTCCTTAAGGATGAACACTAATTCTCCACAATGGAGTAGTCTTCGATCCAGATAAATGGAGAGAAGCTCCTTTTTGAGTTGTTTGGCTCTTTCTTGTGTAGGAAGTGGTAGGAGTCAAGTTGAGTTTCAAAATATCATGGTACCCGCACCCTCACTGGTACCTTGATCTCTTGCCCTGCTTTTCCCAGCTCCTGCTATCAGCACAAGGCGAATTCTCCAGTGGCCCCACTCTGACCAAGGCTGTTAATGAAGTACGAGGCTTAGCTCTCATCGTTTGAGCTTCTTTGTGTTACCAGAGGAAGCAAAATGGGGCAATGGGGAATAAAAATCTTCCCTTCTAACCAGTACAGCTTCCACTGGTCTACTGCACATTTTAAATGAAAATATTTTCATTCTCTGAACCCCAAAGTTAACCTATTATGTGGGAAGAGAGGAACCATAATGATCCAAAGCAAAGGAATATCCCCAGTACACAAGCTAAGAGCTGCTTTATCCTTCACCATCCCAACCAAGTTTTGACAGTCACTAACTGGACCTTATGGTATATTTTCTCTAGCTAGATTAGAAGATCTGTAAGGTCTTTTCTTTTCTTTTTTTTTTTTTAAACTCTAAACCACAATTCTGAGCTCTAGGTAAAGTATTGTGCAGTCTTCAAAGTAACAATTACCTTGGACTCAGTATGATGAGAGAGAAGGGGTAGGGGAAGGAGGGAGGAAAGGGGGAGAAGGCTGGGGCCTGCCCACAAGACGAGCTGCCGAGTCTGGTGGGGAGTGCCCCTTCCATGGTTATTTCCCTGCAGGGCACAGCCTTTCTTCTACAGTAGAAGAAAAGACTCCCTTAGGGATACTGAGGTAAAGATGATTACCAGTGTGCAAATAACTGCTATCAGACTCCTTCCTGAAAGCCAACATTGTTGGGTGGGGGTGGGAGAAAACTCTTTAAAGAAGATGGAGGCCAAAGGGGATTGAATGAAAGGAGCTTCATGACTTTGCTTTGGTTTATGTCCTGTGTCTTCTGTCGTTCCTGCCAAATGTTAACATTCAGAGAAAGCTTAAAAATCCTATAGAAGAGAATATTACTAAGCATTCTTAATTGCTACAGTCAATTCCTAAAATCAATTGAACAGGATTTCAGATTCTGGGTCATATTCCAAATAAAAGTTCTCCGCTTTAGATTTACTTTGAGATTTTCCATTTGGCAGTCAAAAATAGTCTTTTTCTCCATGGATGTCTTCTCCTGCCCTCCCACCCCTGCCCCTACTCTATATTTTTAGTGATTTTCAAACGTGAAAATTAGAAAATTTAAACAACTTCATTAAACAAGAAATAGGTAAGTACCATGCACCCTGCTTAATGAAATAGGCAGTACCAGTATTAGAAAGACAAAGTACCGGGGTGCTTGGCTGGCTCAGTGGTGGAGCATGTGACTCTTGATCTCAGGGTTATGAGTTCAAGCCCCATGTTGGGTGTAGAAATGACTTAAAAATAAAATCTTTAAATAAAAAAAGAGGAAGAAGACAAAGTATCTATCCTGGGCTCAGTATTTTCAAGAAGTGATTAGATAATTTTTTTCCTTCTGCTTTTTTTTCCCCTTTGATTTTATGGAGGAGGGAGGAGGTAGTAAGAGAATATTTATATTGTTAAACTTTTCCTTCAGACTGTTATTGTTCTATTTTCAGTTTTCAAATGAGAAAAAAAAGGCCATTTTATGTAAACATTTTTCCTTGATGTTGTTGTTTTAAATGTAGGACGTGTTGGAACACCTCATTTTATGGCCCCAGAAGTCGTCAAAAGAGAGCCTTATGGAAAACCTGTAGATGTCTGGGGTTGTGGCGTGATCCTTTTTATCCTACTAAGTGGTTGCTTGCCTTTTTATGGAACCAAGGAAAGATTGTTTGAAGGCATTATTAAAGGAAAATATAAGGTAATATTTTATGAATGTTTTATTTTTACATTGAGCTTAAATTATTCTGGAAAATATGAAGTTACTGTCTGGACTTCCTGATTGTCATGTAGTTACCCAGTCAGAGAAAAGTTCTTTGCTGACACCATTGAACCCCTAGCCTTGTGAGACAGTATGGGCCTCAAGTAAATTTCAGAATCACTATCAGCTGCACTGTCATCTAGGCAGAAGACAGGAGACTGGCTTTAAAACAACCATGGCCTTCCCCCTCTGTCTGTGCTGTGGCCGAACTCTGTCCCAGGTGTTTGGAACCCAACCCTGTGTTTAGGCTAGAAAGCAGGGACCTTAGTCCTCTTTGATACCGTATCTGTACGTTCAAGTCAACAGTTCAGGAGTCATGGGCCCTCAGATTCACAAAGCCAGTCCTTTTACCATCAATACATTCTAGCAAAACTGCCCATTTGGCTAGGTCGAAGAAATTGGCTGGTGCCCTACTTATTTCAAATAAAATTCTAGTTCAGGGAAAGAATTTGGAATGACCCTTGGAATTTATTATAATAGAATCTGACCTTTTATTTTACCCTGGATGAGGTGTCCACAACAGATGTGAGCCCAGGTTTAAAAGTATCCATTCTCTGTGTGGTGACCAAACCTCCTCTTCAGGCTCAGCTGGAAAATAAAATTCTTTGGCCCTTCTTTGTGTAATTTGAGGAAAGGGCTTCATTTTTAAAGCTTTTTGCTTAATTTGTAAAGTGAAAATGGAAATTTCATCCCAGTGATTTAGTAATTCTTTATTTTATAGTTAGTATCCGCCTTTATTTGTTTTGCTTTGCCACGCATGTTGTTCCATTTTACGTAGTCAGCTAGCACAGCTGAAAAATTTGCCACTTACATTCCAGGATAAATTGAAATGCCAGGATCACAACTGCATCTCATAATATAATATAGAGCCATTTTGGTGTGACTTAAACATTCCTATTCTTTGGCTACCATGGATTGGAAACAGCACAGACTATTCACAGACTTGTGATTAGTATATTATTACTTTCCTTATTAAAAAATTAAAAATTCGTCACTGACACTATGAGTGGCTATACCAAAAAGACCTAAGGTATGCTTGGAAATAAATAAGCTTAAGGTCGGTCTCACTGCCCCAGCTCTTACACTCCATGGCCCTATACCATCCCATATGGCCGAAGAATCAAATGCTGTATATGGGAAACATGGGGGAGTGTGTGTCTGGATACCAGCTCGGCACAGCTTATGTTGGGGAAGTTCTTTTTTGCCCCATATTACTGAAACCCCTACTTTCTATTCAAGAGAAGCACTGTTTCATTTTCAGCCATGCCTGGCAACATAAAAACCAAACACACAGGTTCGGGTAACACCAGACTCCAAAACTGTGAGACCTGTTAAGTTTTCTTTTCATTTCCTCCCTAATGTTAGAATTTTATAAGGGACTTGAAGAAAAGGGAGGGGGGAGAAATAAAAGGTGAAGTAGCTTCGGGGTTGTAGCCTTGTCCTTTGAAACCATAAGTGAAACTTGTAGAGGTGAGCAGGTGAGAATGAGTTACACTTTCATTTTTAGGCTTGTGCATCACCAGCTTATAAGAGCCTGCAGGTTTACCTCTTATTTTGGTTGGACAAACTCTGTTAACAGAGAAAGATGTTTGAAATATAGGTTTTTCTGCTTCTCTTAGAGTCAGTTGGCCACTGGAGAATAAAATCAATCCTTCCAAGGTAACTAAATATCTCAGAAACTGCTTGTAAGTAGTCCTCCCCCTCGAATCCCTGGAAGTTTGTGAGTGGCTCTGAGGAATGCGTGGCCATGGCTTTCTGGTCGAATTTGGCCAAGTGAAATCACAGATACTTAACATAGGAAAACAAACACAATTAGCCATGCACCAGCATAATAATAATGCTAGCAGTAATGATAGCTGCCTCACACATAGCACTTAGTATGTGCCGGGAACTGTGCTAAGCACTCCTATGAACTCATTTTATCCTCCCAGCGACTTCTGACATGGTACCATATATTAAAATCTCCCACCTGCCTTTTGGAGCTATATATTTGCTAATAATAGAATCTTCCTTTATGTTAGTTCACTTGCTAACTTCCTGGTTTCCAAGACAATGTGCTTTGTTCCAACGGCCTCTGGTATTTGATTTTCTCTATTTTTAAAGCATTGGATAGTTTTGTTTGTTTCCTTGTAAGAAATTTGGACCGTTCACACATGCCAAAAATTAAATGATTTTTAAACCCCCATTCTTAGTATTATAGTAAGTCAGATGGATGTAACAGCTATATCATAATTTCTGCACCTGAAGGTTTGAAACCTTGAGGTTAATAACTTATTTACTCTTTTACTTGGCTAGCCTTACCTCTCACTTGGATTCACGGCTTTTTTTTTTTTTTTTTTTTTATACAAAAGCCCCACGTTTTCAGCAGCTTCGTTTGAAGTATAGATCCATCTCTACCATCAGTGATAAACCTGGTGGGCCTTACATATATGTGTGTGTGTATATGTGTATACATACATACATATGTGTGTATATATACACACACAGATACTGTGCTGTGATTCTGTCAGCATTTATTTTTATATTTTTTTGTTACTGAAAATTTCAAACAAACATAAATAGTAGAAATAACAGTACAGTGAACCCCCAGCTTCAATACTTAGCAACATCTAGCCAATCTGGTTTTATCTATATTCCACATACTACCAGATTATTTTGAAGCCAACTTCAAAAATATAGTTTCATCACCCCAGTGGTTTAAGAACTATGAGCAAAATCCTTGATCTCTGGGGGTATTTTCAAGAAAATCTTGATGGCATCTTTTAAAAACTGTCATAGTTTATCAACTACTGCTGGTCTTACATGATTTTCCTTTAACTTTTTATTCTCATTTACTAGTTTACTTGATCTTTTCAGGTAGATATCTGAGACTACTATTTGCCTGGAATATATGCTAACATTTAATATCAATGAACTTTCTTATAAAAGACAAAAATATATTTCTCAAAGTATGTACAAGATGCAGTGCCATCTTCTTTGTTATACATAGCCAGTTGGTAGCTCCACATCAGGAGTCGAAGCACTCATGGATTTAGTATACAAAGAAGTGAGAGTGTTCTGTTGTCCTGTTTTGTTCCCCTTATAAACTCAACCTCCCAGATTAATTTCAGCTACTCTTTCAGCCAAAGGAAGAGGAAAAGCCTGGATCAGACTCCCTCATAAATACGATGAGGGCATATACTTCTCAACCTCTACTCACCTCAGAAATCTTACCACCACTTTCAGATGACCTCTCAACCCCTTTCCCCGAGGACAGATCATTCCAACTTTAAGGAGCACATCAGCTCCAGGATGGGGAAGAGGGAACAAGACTAAGCCTCATCTAACCATCTACATTATTTCAAATGGACCAGTTGATCACAATTTTAATAGGATGATGGCAATATGGCACTCACTTTAGTTAAGAGATCTGAGAAGCAGAAGTGACTATTGTTTGGAACTCTTCCTGTTAGGAAAAGAACAAGGAACATTTTTCATTCCCCATCTACAAGTATAGAGCCTCACAATAGCCAGAGCGAAGTGTCTAATGCTAACCCTTGGCCGACTATAATGATTCCTGTGTACTGTGATGCAAGCTGTGATTTTATTTGGCTTTAAGTTGTGATGACTTTATTCTCCATCTTTCTCCCTTAGAAGGTGATCTAGGTCTCCTCTGGCTCAAGCCATGGCATCGCTAGCTCCTGGGACCAGGCAGCTCACATAAATTCACCCAGTCAGCTTCTTGATATTAAATAAGGAATGAAACCCTACTCGTCTCTCCCTGCCTGTCCCCACTGACCTCCCCAACTGCAAACCCTAAGCATCCCTTCCCTTTTTTCTGCTTCCTGGTCTCAAACATACCCTTTTTCCCAGGAGCCGTCTTACTCTTTTCCTCCCAGATCCACTTTCTCACAAGTCTTATGTCTTTTGAACAACTCATGGTTTTTGTTCATTTGTTTGACTTTCGTCAATTGACCTTGTGACTTGGTTTTCTCATCTCTATAAGAAGAACAAAAGTAACTTCACTGAAGACAATATACAAGTGATTTGGCTATTTTGTAGGGCCTGTGGTAACAGTATATTTGTTCCTAAATACTGAAATTGAGGTACAGTGACCAAAATATCCTACTAAGAACTTTGCATAACTTCATAATTACTGCACATTCCAATTTTTAAAAAGAAAATGTTTTAAAATTTCTTTAAAATTTTTAATTTAAAAATTTAATTTTAGTCCTTTCTTAGAGCAAAATACTAGTCTCTTTAGCTAAGGTAGAAACTACAGTCATGAGCATTCTATTCAATTATTAAAAATATTATAACTTAGGTGACAATAAGAACATATGTAAGGGATATTTACTGATGCAAAATCTCATAGAGGGAGCAACAACCACCAAAGACTTTTGACTTTGTCCTCTTCCTTAGAAAGCAAGCCTTCAGAATCAGATTTCTGTTCTTTGAGAATTTTATTCACATTGAAACAGCATAGGAATGTTACATCGTAGTGAATATTAACTTCTCACTGGACGGTAACTATGGAATTTTCATCTCCTTCTCTTCAGATGAATCCAAGGCAGTGGAGCCATATCTCTGAAAGTGCCAAAGACCTAGTCCGTCGCATGCTGATGCTGGATCCAGCTGAAAGGATCACTGTTTATGAAGCACTGAATCACCCATGGCTTAAGGTACGGGAGCCCATAGGTGGCCATCTACGCTTCGTGTGAACACTTCCAGCGACAGCAGTATATTACTCTAGAGGGCGACTCTTCCCACCTCTTTTCTGGGCACTTTTTTTGAGTTTTGTTCACCTTGTTTGCTGTTTCCGGACAGCCTCTGTAAATATCTGAGCAGAGAATATACCATTCTAGTGACATTCAGCCATCAGAGGGAACAGAGGCAGATTAAGGCAGAACATAGCAGGGAGGAAGGCGTGTTTGTTCTCCACCGACACATGTCCCAAAGCTGTGCAACAAGAACAAGGGAAGTATTGCTGTGTTTATGACACAAAGTTGTGATCTTTCCTTTGGATGTGACTGTATGGGTCATAACATTATTTTTATTTCAGTAGATAACTAGATATGGATTTACTGTTTTAGGAAGAAGCTCGATTTTTAAAATTCTTTCTCTATCCCATCTTGCGAGTGAATTTTAAGGAAAATGTAACTTGGGACTTGAGTGAAACAGCACTATTTGGTTAAGACATTCTACAGTTCAGTAATTCCAGCAAGTTGTCAGTAGTGCAACCAGGATTTTAATTGCACCTACCACAATGCTTTTCTTTGCATGTGAGATCCTCTGTCTTTTACTTACTCAGGGACATCACTCCAGCATCCCTTTCCTGCATCATCATTTTTCTGGCTCTGTTGAATCTAATATGCTACTGTTTGTTTTTATTACACACACACACACACACACACACACACACACACACACCTCCTGACCCCACAACCCCCTCCAGTTTCTGTTCCCGTAGATAGCAAAACTCCTAGAACTAAGTTGACTGTACCCATCCTTGCTCCTCTTTTTCTCTGTCTCCACTCAAGCCCTTGGAGACCTCATCTAGTTTTAATGGTCTTAAGTGCTATTTGTACTCTGATGAGTCCTGAATTTATATCTTCAGACCAGGCCTCTCCCCAGAGTGATTCTTTCTTAGCCCAGTGTGCAGTCTCGCCCCCTAATACCTCTCTGATTTCATCCCCTACTACTCTCCTCTTAGTCTGTTCCCCACATATTGGCCTCACTGTGGTTCCTCAGACAGCAGGCACATTCTGGCTTCAGTGCCTCTGTGTTCGTCATGCTCTTTGCCTAGAACACTCTTCTCCAGGTATAGTCATGGCTTCTTCCTTCACCACCTTCAGATCTTTGCTTAACTGTCAGCTTCTTAGTAAGAGCTTTCCTGTCCACTCAGTTTAAAATTAGGGAGAAGGAGGGGCACCTGGGTGGCTCAGTTGTTAAGCATCTGCCTTCGGCTCAGGTCATGATCCCAGGCTCCTGGGATCGAGCCCCGCATCGGGCTCCCTGCTCAGCGGGAAGCCTGCTTCTCCCTCTCCCACTCCCCCTGCTTGTGTTCCCTCTCCCACTGTGTCTCTCTCTGTCAAATAGATAAATAAAATCTTTAAAAAAAATAAATAAAATTAGGGAGAAGGAATGCCCCCTGCCATCAGTATTCCCAGTCCCCCTTTCCTGCCTTAGTTTTCTCCATAGCATTTGTCACCATAAGACATAACCTATATTTTACTTGTTTGTAGTCTATTTACCCTCTAAAATACAAGCTGCAGAACAGTGGGAATTTGGGGCTGTCAGTTCACTTCCGTCCAGCACTCTAGAAAGTATCTGGCATATAGTAGGTGCTCAATAAATACTAGTTACTATTTAATGAATAAACAAATGAATGTTCATTGTATTACACCATGCTACTTCCCTAGAAATTATGCAAAAATAAGATATATTAAAATGTAGATTAATAATGTATGTTAGTGGCAATGACATGGATGATGATATTAGAGAACAGTTTTGAGATTCCAGTGGATCCTGAGTCTATGTCAAGAATTTTACTTATCAGGGCGCCTGGGTGGTGTAGTAGGTTAAGCATCCAGCTCTTGGTTTCGGCTCAGTCCTGGTCTCAGGGTCGTGAGATCAAGCCCCACGTCGGACTCTGAGCTTGTGGGACAGTGTGGAGTCTCCTCAAGACTCTCTCTCCCTCTCCCTCTGCCCCTCCCTCCCTCCCTCTCTCTCAAATAAATAAATCTTTTAAAAAAAAGAATATTACTTATCAAATCTGCATTCAACCCTCCGATACACAGCTCTAATTATTCTTGGCTTAAAATATTTGGTTCTAGTTATTCCTGATTTCCCCCAGAAAAGAGTAGGTAAGCAATTCTTAGATACATTCTTAGTATTTTTTTCTCCCAGAAATGACCAGTGTAGGGGGGACTCCTATTTCTCCTTTGCCTGTCTCAGTTTCTCCATAATGGGGATCTTTTGTTCATTAGAAGCTAGTTTAAATGCCAAAGGACAATGAAAATGGCAGCCATATTAGTCATTTTTAAGACCCTTTAGAAAATTTGGCTCTCATTACCATGCATATCCTGATTAACATTTATTTTTGGAAACCCTTCTCCCTGCAGTGATTGTAGTTCTCGTTCTAAATAATCTGAGCTTAATACATAATAGATTTCTGGCATCAGAAAGATAACAGACAGAAAATGTCAGTAACTTAAATGAAGAAGTTCCAGAAGGCTATTTGAGCTCAGAATCATGTGCCATGTCTGAACTACAATTTACCTTCACTGCTTAGGTGCCATCTGGAGATGGAAGAATTCCATAAGAATGTTATCTAACTGTTGCAAACAGGCTTCTTATAGTTAAATACTTGTCCATGTATACTCATGAATCATTGCTGTGGATGTAATTGGTGTTAATTTTGTAAAGACTAAATTTAAGCTATAGTTTATATATGAAAAACTCCTGCATAACTGCAAAGTGAAGAAATAAGATGGTGAACGTCCTTGTAGTGAAGAGTGCCCAAAGTCATAATACCATGACTAGGTGTCAAAAAAAAAAAAAAGATTTATTTCTTTGGTAAAACCACAAGAAAATGTCCTATTCAATCATGTCATATCAAAAAAGAATTTGAGTAAATAGACCAAGTAATATGTGAATGTCTTATGATTGTTAAATTATACTATGTTTAACGCCTTTATCTAAATTAGTGGTGTTTGCTATGAATATTCATTCCAGCAAAAATAGGACCAACTAAAATTGTACTTTCCTTATAGATGACTGAGCTCTTTTCACACTCTGTAGCCTTCATATGTAGACCCTAACGTACACTGACTAGAATAAATCATGAAAAGAGTGTTGCTATCCGGCTAGTCAATTTGAATTTTGGAAAAATCTGTCACACCAAAGAGAGAAAGGCATAGTCAGGCTGCGAAACGGGTTTTCAGATGATACTAATACAACATAAACACCCAGAAACAAGCTCAAAGAAGTCACAGAGGAGAAGCATCACATGAATACAGAAGTATGGGCCCAGCTCACGGTCATCTGGAGCTCCAGAGAGGTCCAGGGGAGCATAGGCAAAGCATCACCAAGTGTTCAGGGCATGTGGGGGTAGGAACAGGAAGCAAACTAGTATAGTACAAATGTCAGCTCTTTGAAGGATCGTGCAGTAATAGACTGGAAATTCTGGTTTGAGGGAAGAATACCTATAGTCCAGAATGCCAAATTAAGGACTTTAGATATTAGGGTGTAGATGGTAAAAAGCTACTGCAAGCTTTTGAGTGATGATACAGTACAAGCAGTAAAGCTCATACAATTCCTTTGGACTCTGTGTGCAAGTAGGTTGCCTGTTGGGGGTGCAAGCGCTGGGGGCAAAGACAGCTGATAAAAGCTATGGCTGTCCAGTCAGGAGGTAACAGGGGCCTGCACCCAGGGAGTAAAGGTGGAAGTGGGAAAGAAACAGACTGAGATTTTAAGGAAGGAAAACTGATGAGGCTCAGTGAGTGATTCGAGGTATTTGGAATTAGGAAGCCCCCAGGAGAGTCACACATGTAGAGTGGAAGTGATTTCTTGTAAACTTTTTATTTTGAAATAATTTTAGACTCACAGAGAAGTGGCAGAACAGGAGCACCTGGCCGGCTCAGTCAGTAGAGCATGCAACACTTGATCTCAGGGTTGTGGGTTCGAGCCCCATGTTGGGTGTAGAGATTGCTTACAAATAAAATCTTAAAAAATAAAAAATAAAATCTTCAAAAAATTTAGAAAAAGAAATGGCAAAAACAGTACAAAATTCCCATGTACATTTCACAATTCTTTCCCCCAGTGATGATATGTTATATGACTATAACTAGGAAATTAACGTTGGAACACTTAACTGAGGCCTTATTCAATTTTCACCAGTTTGTGTGTGTGTGTGTGTGTGTTTCTAGGAAATTTTATCACATGTATGGAAGTGTATAAGCACCATAATCAGGATATAGAAGTGCTCTGTCACCCCTCATGCTACTCCTTAATAATCACATCCTCCCTCTAACCCTAACCCCTGAACCACTGATCCATTCTCCATCACTATAATTCTTGTCCTTTTGAGAGTATTATATAAATGGGATTATACAGAATGTAACTGTTTAGGAGAAACTGACATCTCCAGGGTGTTTCTCTTTTCCTCTCACACAGCTACCACACTCAACAGCACTTCTGACACCAGGTGTGTCTGGGTTTTTTCCCTACACCAAGCAATTCTCTTGACACCAGCTGGGTGTCCTACATTTTAATTCAGTTCTGACACTAACTGAAATTAATGCAGACCCCACAGGTTAAGGGCTTGGCCCCACAAGACTGTCCCCCACTTCAGATGCCAATCGCAAGTAGTGGGTCCCCAGGTTACCCACGACTTCTGTCCAACTTGGCTACAAATTAGAGGTTCCCATAACCCAACCCACCCCAACCTTGGGTTTGATTGTTTGCTAGAACAGCTCACAGAACTGAGGGAAGCACTTATGTGTACCAGTTTATTTTATGATAAAGAGTATGGTAAAGGATACAGATGAAGAGATACATAGAGGAAGGTCTAGAAGGGTCCCAAGCGCAGAAGTTTCTGTTCCCATGGAAGATGGGGTACACCACGCTCCCAACATGTACATGTGTTCATCAACCCAGAAGCTCTCCAAACCCCATACTT